ACACATATACATATACACACACACACACACATACACACACATACACACACACACACACATATATATATGTTGTTTTTTGGAAACAATTGTAACTGAAGCTAAAGCTATGAATGAATCAAGTAATTCTCTTCAGTGAAATACATAGGAGAACATATTTCTGCCATTGTGATAACTTTCACAGTCATATTATTAAAACCACCGTGCAGTGTTTTAGTATCCGATATGCTTTCACACTAGCAGATCTATTACTCAAAATGGCCTGAAACAACACACCCCAAACCAATGCAGCTCATTGAGTTCTTTTAATGCAGTGCCATTTTCTGTCTCAATGCTGGGACTGATTGAAGAGCAGTATCACTAGTTCACAAAGCCATACTGTTATGGTATTCTGTAGGTCACACTGAACACTGAAAAATATTCTACGTAAGGGCTCTGACACACCCAACTGTTGGCCATCATTGTGCTCGGTGTGGCTGACTGTTGCCTGCAGGTTTTGCAGTGAGTCTGGCACAGTTGGCTATAGTCAGCATTAATCAGCAACCATTCAGCCAAATCAGCATGATGAATCAGCCTCAAGGGCAAACAGTAGGAAAGGATTCTCTGACTCTGTGTTCAAACAAAATCTGTTCATTTACTCATTTGGTGCAGGCTTCCCTTATTTTTTCATCTGGCCACATGATGACAATCCCCCTGTAAAACAAAACTTTACAGTGCCAAATGAAACTTTTTAATCAGAAATATTCCTATTTTCTATTCCAAACCTACTGTATAGTGATACTTTTAAATCAGATTCACATTGACATGAAAGTAACTGGCTAATTTGTTTTGCACACATGATGATTTTTGGATTAGACAGTTATTTCCCCCGATCGTGGGTTAGATAGAGAACACATACGGCGATGAACTGTAAGTCTTTACTGGTTCTTTGAGGTTGGCTTGGTGTGTGTCAGGTTTTTAAAGGTGGTCTGAGTGAACATGTGGGTGAATAAGAAACTGTTCACAGCCTGACCTGTGCAGATGGTCTCCACCAGCTTGGGGTCGTGCTGGGCTCCGAGCAGGGACTGGAAGTATCCTGGGTTCTTCTCTAGCTGGTCTTGAGCCCCACTGGCTGACATCCAGACCAGAGCCCGGTGCTCATTAGGAATCCCCTTACGTACGTAACGCTTTACTGAAAGGAGAGGGAGAACATTGAGTTCAGTTTTATTGCATGCACCCACTCTGTGAGGATACTGGTGTTCGGTTTTCACACTCACGTTTTACATTCTTCTGCACCTTGCTTTTTCCCTTCAGGAGTTTGGACCACTTGATGCATCGTCGGGTGAGCACAACTAGATACTGGGACATTAGCTCCTCATATGATTCATAATCAAAGTCCTCTGAGCGCTCAAAACCATATGGATCCACGCTGGGTCAAAAGGCACAAAGTTAGCAACTGTTAAAAACACTTTAAAAGATTGTGTTCAGCCAGTAAATCACAATCACCATCAGAATTACCAAAGCTTTACTATCATAGCATTGAAAATCTCTTATTGAACAAAATAATATGAACAGAATCAGGTGAACCTGAACACTTGTGTATGTATGCTGGTGTGTGTGTGTTTGTGCTTTTTCTTCTGTACTATGATGTTATTTATTGTATTTGGGGGAAATACAGGAAACACATTTTCAATAATGTAAAAAATGTTGTATTTTCTAAAATCTCTCATTGTCATTCATTAGTCCGGTATCATTTAACTGCTCGTGTTGGTAGCATTTAGGCCTTATCATCCCTACTTACTTAGCACCATGCTCAGACGTAACTATTAGATAAAGCCATTACAGCACAAATAAAGTGTAATGTTTCTATTTTGGTAATGTATTTTAATATATATTAATATTTCATACATACCATGTGTATCAACATTATATATATCCACTATCTGGCTATAAATGAAATGGTTGTGGGTGTTGGTGGCTCAACCCTAATGCGTTAGGTAACACGATAATCTCCCTTCAGCTTAACCCTTTCACAAGAAGAAGAAAGGCACCTACAGACCAGCAATGTGGTAGGCTACTACATCGGTTTTCAACATGCACAACTTTACCACTGTAGTACATACACGACACAGCTTACACGGCATATAGTTCGAGTCTTAACTTGTGTGGCTCTGCAAACACTGGGTGAAAATAAAGGTATCATTACGCAAACACTATGGTCTTAGAATGGCCTTCGTTGCCAAAACAAAAGGAAGGGCACACTTTAGATGTATCAGTGTGGAGTTTGTGACCGTGGCACATGATTTAACGTGTTGGTTCAGGTTATCATTTTTTTCCCTTTAGCACTGGAGTATGAGTGCAATTCTAGTCAAGTCCAATCAGTTGTTTTTACCATCCTACCTTCAAGAAGGTCATAATATTCAGTGTTTTAAAGATATGTTCATTCAACTTTGTCATTTTGGAGCCTGCAGTTTCTAATCTAAGTTATCCATCATTGACCACCCACCGAGAGCCGAAGGGTCTGTCCTAGGTTTCTGCCTTTTAACAGGCAGTTTTTACTTCCCCTGTCGCCAAGGTCTTGCTCATGATGGTATACTGTTGGGTCTCTGTAAATGTTAAAAGGAGTTCGGTCTAGATCTGCTCTATTTGAAAAGTGTCCTGGAGATAATCTTCTGTTATGAACTGCCGCTTATACAAATAAAATTGAATTGAAAATTGAATTGAATTGATATAGAATATTAATATACAAATTAATATTAGAATTACCTCAACAGATCCACAAACTACAGACTCCAAGTAGTTCAAGTTTAATCAACACCCATCTTAAAACATTTGCACCAGACTGCATTTCATTTCACCCAAGTGTACCAATAAACCTGCCATCCACTGAAGTTTTATTTGATCCATCAGGTGATGACAGAAATTGGCCAAATTCCTAATGAACAAAAAAAACCTATATAAACACCTCCTGCAGAAAGTATATCACTATGTAAATCA